ATTCCCTCATCCTCCCCTCTAAAAATCTCTCCCATATCCTCTCCCCTTCCCTATCCTCTGAGCCTTTTATTTCTTTCTAAATTTAGACTTTTATAACTTCCCAAATATATATGTACTATTCTCTCTTTTTTAAAATAATTAATTAATTTATTTTTAGTTTTCAACATTCACTTCCATAAGATTTTGAGTTTTGAATTTTCTCCTCCATGCTCTCCCCCTGCCCCAAAGGCAGCGTGCAATCTGATATAGGCCCGACTTATACATTCATATTAAACATATTTTCACATTAGTCATGATGTAAAGAAGAATCAGAACTAATGGGAGGAACCACAAGAAAGAAGAAACAAAACAAAACAACAAAAGAAAAGGAGAGCAAATAGTACGCTTCCATCTGCATTCAGACTCCAAAGATCTTTCTCTGGATGTGGCTAGCATTTTCCATCATGAGTCTTTTCGAGTTGTCTTAGATCCTTGCATTGCTGAGAAGAGCTACGTCTATCAGTCAGTGATTGCACAACGTGGCTGTTACTGTGTACAATGTTCTCCTGGTTCTGCTTATTTCACTCAACATCAGTTTATATAAGTCTTTCCAGGTTTTTCTGAAGTCCACCTGTTCATCTTTTCCTATAGCACAATAGTGTTTCATTACATTCGTGTACCACAATTTGTTCAGCCATTCCCCAATTAATGGACATCCCCTCAATTTCCAATTCTTTACCACCAGAAAAAGAGCTGCTATAAATAGTTTTGTACATGTGGGACCATTTCCCATTTCTAAGATCTTTTTGGGATACAGACCTAGAAGTGGTATTGCTGGGTCAAGGGGTATGCATAGTTTTGAATTGGTCTCCAGAATAGTTAGATCAGTTCGCAACTCCACCAATAATGCATTAGTGTTCTAATTTTCCCACATCTTCTCCAACATTTATCAGTGTCTTGTTTTGTCATGTTAGCCAATCTGATAGGTGTGATGTTGTATAAATCATCAGAGTTGTTCTGATTTGCATTTCTTGAATCGATAATGATTTAGAACATTTTTTCATATGACTATAGATAGTTTCAGTTACTTCCTCTGAAAACTGACAATTCATATCTTTTGACCATTTATCAATTGGGGAATGCCTTGTATTCTTACAAATTTGACTCAGTTCTCTACATATTTTAGAAATGAGGCCTTTATCAGAGATGCTGGTTATAAAAATTCTTTCCCAGTTTTCTGCTTCTCCCCAAATCTTGGATGCAATGGCTTTGTTTGTGCAAAAACTTTTCAATTTAATGTAATTAAAATTATCCATTTTACATTTCGAAATGTTCTTTATCTCTTGTTTGGTCATAAATTCTTCCCTTCTCCATAGATCTGACAGGTAAACTATTCCTTGCTCTCCTAATTTACTTATAGTATCATCCTTTATATTTAAATTGTGTACCCATTTTGACTTAATCTTGGTATACAGTTTAACATGTTGGTCTATGCCTGATTTCTGCCATGCTATTTTCCAGTTTTCCCAGGAGTTTTTTGTCAAATAGTGAGTTCTTTTCCCAGAAGTTGGGGTCTTTGGGTTTAGCAAACAGGAGATTACTATAGTCATTGACTATTTTGTCTTGTGTACCTAACCTAGTCCACTGATACACCACTGTATTTCTTAGCCAGTACCAAGTAGTTTTGATGATTGCTGCTTTATAATATAATTTAAAATCTGATATGACTAGGCCACCTTCCCTTGCATTTCTTTTAATTAATTCCATTGATATTCTGGACCTTTTGCTCTTCCACATGAATTTTGTTATTATTTTTTCTACCTCTATAAAATGATTTTTGGTAGTTGGATTGGTATGGCACTAAGTAAATTAATTTAAGTAGAATTGCCATTTTTATTATATTAGCTTGGCCTACCCATGAGCAACTGGTATTTTTCCCATTATTTCGATTTGACTCTATTTGTATGAAAAATGTTTTGTAATTGTGTTCATATAGTTCCTGGGTTTGGCTTGGCAGGTAGACTCCCAAATGTTTTATATTGACTATAGTTATTTTGAATGGAATTTCTCTATCTCTTGCTGTTGGGCTTTGTTAGTAATATATAGAAATGCTGATGATTTATGTGAGTTTATTTTATATCCTGCAACTTTGCTAAAATTATTTGTTATTTCAAGTAGTTTTTTTACTTGATTCTCTAGGATTCTCTAAGTATACTATTATATCATCTGCAAAGCAATAGCTTTGTTTCTTCTTTGACTACTCTAATTCCTTCAATTTCTTTTTCTTCTCATAACTAAAGCTAACATTTCTAGTGTAATACTGAAGAATAGTGGTGATAATGACATCCTTGTTTCATCCCTGATCTTATTGAAAATGTTTCTAGCTTATCCCCATTACATATAATGCTTGTGGATAGTTTTGCATAGATGCTGCCTATTATTTTAAGGAAGAGTCCACTTATTCCTATGCTCTGTCATGTTTTTAATAGGAATAGGTGTTGTATTTTGCCAAATGTTTTTTCTGCATCTGTTGAGATAATCATATGATTTCTGTTAGTTTTGTTGTTGATATGGTCAATTGTGTCGATAATTGTCCTAATATTGAACTAGCCCTGTATTCCTGGTATAAATCCTACCTGGTCAGAGTGTATTATCCTCAAGATAAGTTCCTGCAATCTCTTTGCTAATATTTTATTTAAAATTTTTGCATCTATATTCATTAGTGAAATTGGCCAATACTTTTCTTTCTCTGTTTTTGGCTCTTCTGGGTTTAGGTATCAGCATCATATTTGTGTTATAAAAGGAATTTGGTAGAACTCCTTCACCTATTTTCCCAAGTAGTTTAAATAGTATTGGAATTAATTGTTCTTTACATGTTTGATATAATTTATGTGCATATCTGTCTGGCCCTGGAGATTTTTTGTTAGGGAGTTCATTGATGGCTTGTTCAATTTCATTTTCTGAAATGGGGCTATTTAAGTATTTTATTTCCTCTTCTGTTAACCTAGGCAATTTATATTTTTGTAAATATTCACTCATTTCATTTAGATTGTCAGATTTATTGGCAGTTGGGTAAAATAGCTCCTAATTATTGTTTTAATTTCTTTTTCATTGGTGGTGAATTCAACCTTATAATTTTTGATACTGGTAATTTGATTTTTTCTTTTTTTAAAATCAAATTAACCAAAGGTTTATTTATTTTATTGGGTTTTTTTTTCATAAAACCAGACCTTTTTTTATTTTGCAAAATCTTCACGTGTAAGATGGTGCCTGAAAGAAGAACTGGAGGTAAAGAGGGAATGTATTCCAGGAGAGGGGAATGACTAGTGCAAAAAAAAAAGAGGAAGAAGGGAGATGGAATGTCTAATGTGAATAACAGAAAGAAGGCCAACTTGGCTGCAGCAGAAGAGTAATATGCCTCGAAGCAAGAAAAATTGGTTGGTGCCAATTTTCAATTTCATTTCCCCTCAGATGCAAGCACATGTCTTTTCCGGTCTCTGGGCAGCTCATTAAACCTCACAGTGCCCCCAGGCAAGGCTATAAGTTTCAGAGCATGTTTTTCTCTGGTTGAGGGTATCCAACAGGCCTATCGGGCTACCTCAAGTATGTGAAGTTTTGCCTGGCAGAATAGGAGGATAAGAGGAAAATTTGTTATCAGATCCATGAAGGTGGCTGAAACAGAAATTATAGATTGCTGAGGGCTTAGTCAAATATTGAAGATGCCATGGTCATCCACTACATCCTGGGTCAATCAGTTGTCCTCACTTCTGTCCTGCCACTGGATTTCAATGACTCTGGAAGAGGGAGTGAGGCTGACAAATTCATCACATACAAGACAACACCCTTGATGTCATCGGTCCTCTTTGAAAACAAAGGACAAAAGACAGCCAGAACTGTATCAGTGGAGGGAGTTTCCTCAGGGAAAAAAAAAATTTGTTACCAGGATACACTTGCAAGTTGTTAGTGGCACATATTTGGACATGAATATGATGTCAAAACAAAAGGCATCAAAAACATTTCATTTTTTAAAAAAATGTCTAAAGTGTATGTTCCCATATTTATCTGCAAGATTGTGCAATTCTAAAAATAAACTATATAAAACATAGGAGCACACTGAAGAATGAAGGAACTCACAATTTTGGCACCTTCTTCAACCAGTGAGTTGAATCTTTGAAAATGAACATTATCCACAAAAAGTCACAGCTAGGAGGGACCCTAAAAAATCTCTTTACAATGTCTAACTTCCAAAAGAAATCAAGTCCCAAAGAGAAGAAGTCAATGCTCGGCTAATGGAAAAACCAGAACTAAAACAAAACTAAATCTGCTGATTTCTAGTTTCTATTGGTCTCAGCCCCGCACCTTCCATTTAGAGGACTATAATTCGCCTGTTTTAGTAGAGAATGGTGAAGCTTAAGAGAAAAAAAAAAAAATCCCGAACATTAATGTAGTGCCAAAGAACTTGGTAATTTTTTTTTATATTCATAATCATTTCCTACCTTTTCTAATCGTCACTTAAGGATAATCAATAAAGCAACGAGATTATGCATGAAAGCTAATGCAATCCGAAGTCATGGATAGGTGTAATGGCTGGGAAGAATGGTAAAAAAACAAAAGCAAACAAAACGTCCAATTGAGAAAGGGCTCGTGCCTTCGCTGCAGGAAAATGAGTGTTAAATATCTTTGGTGGTTCACAGAGCAAGGAAACAAACTACAAACTGTGCAAAGAGGTAATCTTTAGTTCTGGCCCAAGGCGTGGATTTTTTTTTTTAAGTGATTTGTAATGATAGTTCAAACTCAGGCAGAGACACACCATTCCCTGAGAAAGGAAGGAACTTCCTTTTTCTTTCCCGACTCCTCCCCATATTGAGAGGAATTCTGAGCAGGAAATGGATAGAGAGTCATTGTCCGTATGTAATCCTGCTCATAATTAATCATACAGAAAAGTGTTAGAGAGTGAGGGAGAGAAAGAAAATGTGCCTCTCTAGACTCGAGGTGGGTGGATCTATGTGTTCTGAGTCCCTTCTGCAGCCAGGGTAGCCAAGGCACCCAGCAACCCAGGGAAGCAGGTGGGCGGCAGGTGGGGAAGAGGAAGGGTGAGCTTCCCCCCCCCCCCCAAGCATGCGAGAATCCACCAGCAAGGGAGCCTGCCAGCTAACCTCTTCCTTTGTTGACCGGCATTAGGGCTGGTCACAGTCACATACACACCCGTTATAAGATAAGGGAGGGAGGGAGGAAGGAGGGAGGGAAAGAACGAAGGAGGGTGGAAAGGAGGAAGGAAAGCAAGGCGGCTCTTGTACTCTGGTGCAACTCTGCCGAGATGCTTGCGAAAATAAAGGGAAGAAAAAAAGCCCAAACCCAAACTCAAGAACAACGAGAGAATACAAGTTTGTTTGCTAGACCCTGCAAAAGCTCAGGGAAAAGTATTTTTTTCCCCCTTTAACAAACAAACAAAAAAGGCGGGGGGGGGGCGCTATTTATTAGACTTAACCTTCCTAACTCCTTTCTCATCACACAGCACAAATGCAACTTCCTACATTGCTTCTTCTACTATACATCTAAATACGTCATTCCCTCCAACATCCTGGGGAAAAAATCCTCAATGAAAAAATTGTTTACCTTAATAACGTAAGAGGTAATCATGTCCTTTATGGAAAAGTCTGGTTATCCTGGTAGGCAGCAGGAAAGCAGCAAATATCCTGCTATAGAAAAGTGGGGAGGAGGGATAATCTATTAATATTGCTCAGCTTTGAAGCATATAGGCAGAAGGTGAACGAAGAAAAGGCGAGCGACCTTCCGAGCAGGAGCAGAGCAAGGCATAGGGCTGGCTCTAAACAGCTCTAAGCTTATCTTCGTCTCAGGGGCAGATTGCACCAGAAATCTCCCCCCTAGCAACGCCAGCACATCAGGCCCGCACCCTCACTCCTCTCACTGGTCCCGCATTTAACATTAACTGACATGGGTGTTAGTCTTCTTGATCTTTTAGATATTCTCTCCCAGGATCAATTGCCAACCTTTCACACGTATGGTTTAGCAGGGTTTGTGCAAGAAAATTCAATCCGTTCTTTCTCTTCCTGGTTTTCATGCACCATCCTTCCGGGCTTGAAATAGACAAAGCACAGTCACTGAATTACACTCATCACATGATGGCACTGCTGCTGAAGCCCCTGTTTCCTTCTCTTCCCAGAGAGGTGCTGCTGCTGCTTCCAGAGACTGAGCATCTGTCAAATGTTTTTTTGCTTTGTATATTTTCAGTCTAACAACGTAGCAAAGGAGGATGCCCTGTTTTCCGCCAGTGATTCTCAGGGAGCCCTGGTAACGTTTTAAGAGAAACTACTGCAACCAGGCTTGGCCACTGCCGGAGCTTGGGAGTTTGATAAAGGGAGGGTGGGGAGTGGAGGGGTGAGGTTGTGGGCGAAAGAAGGAAATGGGAGGAGAAGGAAATTGTACGTTAGGGTGCGGAAGGCTCTTGCTACATTGAAGGGATCTGAGCAGAAGGGCTTGCTAGCCAGTCTGGAAATTGCATTTGTGGGATGAAAGGATGAGGATGGTCAGAGAGGACACCTGCCAGGAACTAAAGGCAGCTGGACCACCAAGAAGTAGGTTTTTGGTGCACCAGCTACAGTAAGACTGCCCAGTGATAATCCTGTCTGATCGCATTTGTCTGCTTAACTGGGATGGCTCACTGTCCTTGGTCACCCTTCTTCCAAATGAAACAGTTAAAGACCTCTCTGCCCGCCAAGAAAACGCCACGGGAAATCAGCGCCTTGGGATTCAGTTGTTTCACTGTCTTCATGGCAGAACCAGTGACAGACTGTGGTCAGCGCTGGGCCTAACACCTCCATCACTGCCCCACCCTTGATCCCTGCGGAGTCTGCATGGTCAGTGACATTGCTTATCCTTGACAGAAGAACCGACAGGAAGTTGGTTCACCTAAGTAGACAGCCTGTGTAAATTACTCAGTTACTTCCTGCCTTCTTACTGCTCTCTTATGTTTCAGGGACCACCCTTTGGAACCTACAAAGTTCACTTACAAGAGCCGGAAAAGATGGAGACAGGAAATTCCAGCTGGATATTATAGACAGCATTTGGAAGAAACCTCTCTGTTTCAGAAGGACCATCTGGTTCAGATCTAGTGTTCCTCAAAAATAGGAAGGAAGGAATATATACAAAGAATAACCTACCTGTTATTTCAAGGAAGCAGGGTTTTTTTTTTTAATAATGTAGCGCCTGTTTGCTGACTGATAGCAAAATGAAAAACTGAAACTGAAATCTCAAATACTCCAGCTAAACTTTGAATTTTGTAGGACCATAAATTTAGAGGAGACCTTAGTCCAACTTCTTCATTTTACAAATGAGGAAACGGGCCAAGACTTGCCCAACCTCACAGAGATGATAAGTAAATCCACCTAGCCCCTTAGACTCTGTATCAGTTCCTCAAAAAGCTACCAGTGTTTCAGATAGAGTCATTTATGTAGCAGCATAGTGTAGTGGGAAAAGCCTGGACTTTGGGTCCACTTGGAACTGGAAGGCCTAGATTTAAGTCCTGGTTCTACCACTTTCCAGTTCTGTGAATTCCACTTTATTAGCCTCAGTTTCCTTATCTACAAAATGAGGGGATTGGTCCAAGTGATTTCTAAGGTCCTTTACAAAGCTCTAACAGTCTGTGGGACCATCCTCCAGTTTTCAAAGTACTTTCAAGTATGTTATTTAGTACTGTACAAATCAAACTACCGCGGGGATACTTTATGAGGCTAAATAAAATAATAGCAAAATTCATTTTGGAAGAACAAAAGATCTAGCATATCAAAGGAATGAAGAGTACCTCCTGTCCTCAAATTATATTATAAAACAATGATCACCAAAATTATTTGGTGCTGGTTAAAAAAATAGAAAAGTAGATCAGTGAAGCAGATTAGAAAAGGAAAAATTAGAAATAACAGAACTCTGCTACCCAGTGTTCTACAAATTAGAAAACATAATTTACCTAGGAAAGAACTCCTTATTTGACAAAAAAAAACCGAACAAACAAAAAAAAGGAAAACTGGAAAGCTTGTTGGTAGAAATTAGATTTAGAGTAACATATTATAACATAAACCAAAATAGACTCATAATGAATACATGACTTGAACATTAAAGGTCACATTATAAAAAATTAGAGGAGAACCAAATCAGCTTCCTTTTATGGCTAACTGCAGCTAGGGGGTAAATTCCTAACCAAACAAGGGAGAGAGATCATTACAAAATGTAAAATAAGTCATTTCAGTTACGTGATACTGAAAAACTTTTTCAGAGACAAAATGCAACTAAGATAAGAAGAGAAGGGGGGGAAATCTATGCATCAAGTATTCAGATAAAAGTATGTAGACAACTAACAAATTTATAAAACCAAAAACCATTCCTTGATAAATAAGTAGTCAAAGGATATGAACAGAGTTCTTATAAGAATGACAGCAGCTCTTGTCTTTTGTCAGTTGGGGTTAAGTGACTTGCCCAAAGTCACCCAGCTAGTAAGTGTCAAGTGTGGAAGGCCAAATTTGCCCCTCTTGACTGTCTTTTGCAAAACAAACGAACCAAAAGATTTGTAAGCTCTTAATAACTATAGAAAAGGATGCCCCAAATCACTAATAGTAAGAGAAATGCAAATCAAAACAACTCTGAGGTTTCACCTCATACCCAGCAAATTAGGAAAAATAACAAAGTATGGGAATAGTAAATGTTGAAAGGGTAGCAGAAAGATAGGCATATAATGCACTATTAGCGAAGCTATGAATTGGTCCACTCATTCTAGAAAGAAATTTGGAATTATGTTAAGAAAGTGACTAAAATGCCCATATTCTTTATCCCAAAGATTTCAGTGCTAGGCATATATCTCAATGATAAAAAGAAAGACCCAACATACACCAAAATATTTTAACAACTCTTTATGGTAGAAAAGAACTAGAAACAAAGTAGATGCCTACACATCAACAGGTGCAAGTTACGGTACATTAATGTAATAAAATATTACTATGTTGTAAGAATTAATAACAAAAACAAATATAGGTAGACATGAAATAGAATCAAGGAAAATATATACGTATACACATATGCATATACATATGTAGGTATGTGTGTGTGTGTGTGTGTGTGTGTGTGTGTAGACTACAACAATGTAATGGGGAAAAACCCAACAAAACAATCAACGCTAAATGCTGTGAAATTATAGTGACCAAGCACAGCCCCAAACAAGAGAGAGATAAGACAAGGCACATCCCCCCTCTTTGCAGAGGTAGGGAATATTAGTATAGAATAGTACATTAAAAGTCAGACTTTTTAATGTGTTATTATTGTTCAGTCATGTCTGACTCTTTGTGACCCCATTTGGCATTTTCTTGGCAAAGATATTGGAGTGGTTTGCCATATCCTTCTCCAGTTCATTTTACAGATGAGGAAACTAAGGCAAATAGGGTTAAGTGACTTGCCCAGAGTCACACAGCTAATAATTGTCTGAGGCCAGACTTGAATTTAGGAAGATGAGTCTTACTGATGGCAGGCCTGGCGCTCTATCCACTGCACCACCTAGCTGTCCTTTTACTGTGTTACTCAACTATATTTCTTCCTTTTTTTAAAAAAAAAAATTCTTTGTCTTAAAGAATAACTAACTCTCCAGGAGGGGGAAGAGAAAAAATATATTGGGAAATCAAGGTGTTATAAGAACACAAGACATGAACTAGAGTTACAGAATGAGGGACATTTTCAGAAAAGGTAAATTTGTGTATTTGCTTTTCTTGACTATATACTTGTTACATGGAAGGGCTTCTATTGGGGGTGGGGTGAAGTGACAGCTGGTGAATAGTGATAATGATACCACCCCCAAAACCACAGAAAGAACATCAATGAAAGATTTTTAGAATTCTCAGAAAAGAACGTGAGGAAGGTCAGAAGAAGACAATCTGGGCAATTACTTTCTTGTTACATTTAATTTGCCTTTTTAAAAAACAAGCTAAGTAGTTCAAATGAAGTTTCATATTCTTTCATTGTTGAACATATTGAAACATTCATGTTGATGTTTCTTATGTTCATAATTAAATTTTTCTGGAGGTCACTTTATTTTTTTTAATTAATTTATTTTTAGTTTTCAACATTCACTTCCATAGGTTTTTGAGTTTTAAATTTTCTCCCCCTCCCTCCTCACCTCCCTGCCCAAGACGGTGTGCAATCTGATAGAGGCTGTACATATACATTCCTATTAAAAATATTTTCAAATTAGTCATGTTGTAAAGAAGAGTTAGAACCAATAAGAGGAACCACAACATAATTAAATTTATTTAAAAGATATCAATAAACTTAAATATTAGATTTTAATAATTAAATTTAATAATTAAAATATGGTCACATATCATATAATACAATAATATGTATTATCATTAAATATTTAAAAACACTTCCACATTACCTCATTTAATTTCCTTTCATTTATGTCACCTCAAAGTAACTCTTTTTGTTTCATTTTCAGCCAGGATGGGGTCAAGAAAGATGCAAGAAAGACAGCCCGTGATCTGAGCCTCAATACATGGTGCTCCCTGGAAACCAGCTGGTAAGCAGGGCACTGTCATGATGGACCTATCCAGATCTCAGAATCAGACGTTTAGATCAAAGCGAGACTCTTCCTGATCACATATACAAAGCAATTAAAAAGACCATCTAAATTTTGAGGGTCTGGGGGTGGGTTTTTCTTCCCCTGACAAGTCCCCACAGCCCTGGTCTCCTCAAGCCTCTGGGGAATAGGGAGCCTGGGCAGCTGTTTCTGACCTGGCTCCAACTCTGCTTCCAAAGAGCTCACCTAGTGGGTCTCTCCCTAAGTGTCCTACTGGGGTAGAGGAAAGAGCATATTACCAAGGGACAAGATTGAAACATCAGAAAACACTAAGAGTCTTGTTGGTCTGGTCACTTTCATGGTTCTGGAGTCTCCATTTTTAAAATAATTTAAAAAATAATATCCATCTCACTTGTCTTCCCACTCAATTTGAACAACAAAAAGATAAAAAGAGGAAGAAAACCTTCATCATAAGCATACATAGTCCAGGAAAACAAATTCTGTGGAAATATATGTATCTCTCGGCATTTTAAGTTAATCACCGCTCTGGAAGGTAGTGAGTGGCATGTTTCATCTTCATTCTTCTGTACTCATGGTTTATCAATGCATCAATCAGAGTTGTGAAGTCTTTCAAAGATGTTTTTCATTATGGTGTTTCTATCATTGTTCTTCCACTTATAACTTCACTCCATCAATTTATAGAAGTCTTTCCAGTTTTCTCTGAAACTGTCCATTTCATCTTTTCTTAATACATACTAATATTCCATTATATTTATAAACTATAATCTAACTATTCCCCAATAGGAAGAAAGTCTCTTAATTTCCAATTTAGAGCTACTATAAAAAGAGCCATTTTAAATACATATAATATATATATATATATATACATATATATGTATGTCCTTTTCCTCTTTCTTTGATCTCATATTGCAGCCCAATCTCTAGCCTCCTTTTGGAAGAAGAGTGTTGACTTTCACTCAGTGATGAACACCTGGCCATACCTTACATATCCCAGTGATTTTGAACTCCTATAGGTCATCATCCAAACTTCATTACCCATTCACCACTATTTGATTCATTATTTCCCATTCCCCTTAACCTTCCCATCCCAAAGTTTCAAACAAACATCAACCTCCCCTTCCACAATGCCCCCTGAATGGCAGTTCCATAGGCAACAAACTTTATCCTAAGTCTTTTCCTCTCCTACTCCTGTCATTTTATAGCTATTACTAAAACCTGGTTCCCCTGGCTGCTATGCCATGCCCCTCCATCCTTTGTGCCTTTGTCCCTATACATGTACTGCTGAAAAAAGGTGTAGAAAATCATGCCACCATTCATTATGTTACATAACTTCAACTGGGTCCTCACTGTTATTAGGTAATCCTATTATACCTCCCTTATCAACTCATATCCCACTCTCCACAGCAGCTCTTCTAAATATTTTGTCCCTCCTCAATTGTTCCATGGTTCCCCCTACTTGTTTCACATTTAACAGAAAAAATTGAGGCCATTTGCCATGAGCTCCCTCTTCTTTCATCTGCCTCATCTCATATCACTTATATGACTTTGGCAACCATTTCCTCCTTTACCACTATCTTATGTGATGAAGTGGTTTTTACTCCTTACCAAAGCTAACTCCTCTACCTGCTCAAGATCTCATTTCATCCCATTTCTTCCAACAGATTTCCCCCACTGTCATTCCTACCCTCACTCTCCTCAATCTTTCCCTGTCTATTGGTTTCTTCCCTGCAGCCTACAAATATGCCCATGTCTCCCTCATCCTCAAAACATCCTCATCTGATTCTTTCATCCTTGCTAACTATTGCCCAACATCTCTTCTGTCCTTTGTGACTAAATTCCTTGAGCCACCAATTGGTGGCTCCACTTTGTCTCCTCTTACTCTCACTCTTAACCCCTTACAATCTTGTTTCCAACCTTATCATTACTCTAAAACTTCTCTCTTCAAAGTTACCATTGATCACTTATTTACCAAATACTTTTCTCAGTCCTCATTCTTTCGACCTCTCTGCAGCCTTTGACGCTGTTGATCACCCTCTCCTTCTTGATACTTTCTTCTCTTTAGGTTTGTAGGACACTACTTTCTCCTGGTTCTTCTCTTCCTACCTGACTACTCCTCAATCCCCTTTGCTAGATCATTCTCCAAAGCATTGCCTCTAACCATAAGTGTCCCCCAGGGGTTGTCTTGGGCCATTTTCTTTTCTTTCTCTATACTACTTCAGCTCCCATGAATTTAATTACCATCTCTATGCTGATGATTCTCAGGTCTACCTATCCTGCCCTAACCATTTGTTGATCTCCAATCTCACATGTTCTACTGCCTTTCAGATATCTTTAACTAATATCTTTAACCTTTAAACTCAACATGTCCAAAACTGAACTCATTATCTTTGTCCTAAATCCTCCCTACCTCCTTCCTTCCCTGTAGAGGGCAATATCATCCTTCTAATCCCTTAGACCCACAAGCTAGATGTCATCCTTGACGCTTTATTAGCTTTCATTTCCAATTTGTTGCCAAGGCCTGTTAATTCTACCTTTCAATATCTCTAGAATAGAATCTATCTCTAGAACCCTTACATCCTCAGTCACTGTCACCACTCAGGAGCAGGCCCTTATCACCTCAAAGCTCTTATTTCTCCCCACTCCAGTCCATCATCCACTTAGCTGACAAATAGCTCTTCCTAAAATGCAGGTCTGACCATGTCATTCTCCTATTCAATAAACTCCAGTGGGCTCACTATTAAATCCAGGATCAAATATAAAATCCTCTGTTTGGCTTTTAAAGCCCTTTAAAACCTGGTCCCTTCTTACTGTAACACCTGTCCCAAAGCCCATTACTATGGGACTCTCTATTTATCAGTGGAGGTGAATGCCCTGTCCTGAAGGGCAGAGTAGGCAAAACTAAGAAGCCTTCTTTAGTTTCCTTTAGGACTCTTCAAGATTCTCTTTGAGCATCAAGTCACTCTGAGTACCTCTGGCTTCCAGCTTCAAGAGAGAAGATGAAAGAAGCCAACCCCACCTTCAGTTCCTGAAGGAAAAGATGCTGGGAAAACATAGGAAGAGCTGGCAGTCACCATCATCTTTGTCATCAGTTTTCAATGCTAGAGACTTCAGGGAGTTTTTCTTGGGTGAGATCTAAAATGCTCTCCCTCTCCCAATGGGAGAGCTGTTTCATGCTATATTGTCTGGTATATATTCTCCTGTGTATACCCTCTCTGATTTCTCTTTAGCTACCAAATTTGAACAAATGGTTTTTTCTCTACTATTTGCTATGTGTGCTCATTGTGGAACTGGTATTAGGTTGGAAGGGGTCAAGTAAGCCTTGGATATCCTCTTGGGAGCTTGGGATTTCCCCTTCTCCCCAATAATGACAAAGTAATCAGACGTTAGCTTGAACCCCATCTTATCCCCAAGACTAAAAATATTTAAGGGAGCAGATATATATAATTCTAGTCTGGTACCCCCTGTCTCTGAGGAGAGCAGAGTAGCATCTAGTTCCAATTTCCTACTTCCCCTCCTGGCAGAAATTAAAGTCTCCCTTGGAGAAGGGCGGGAGGAGAAGTTGGAGATTCTGTTCTGCCTCTGTTCAAGTCACACACATTCAGGCTAGTCTTGTTACACCTTACTTCTCTCCTTGCACTTTGTCATTCAGCAACACTCTGACCTTGCTGTTCCTCATACATAACATTCCATCTCCAAGCTGAGTATTTTCATCAGCTGTCTCCCACGTCAGAAATTCTTTCCATGTTTATTCCTGCCTCCTGCCTTCTCTGGCTTCCTTGAAGTCCCAACTAAAGTCCTACCTGCTGTGAGAAGTCTTTCCCAGGTACAGTGGATAGTGTTCTGAGCCTGGATCAAATCCAGTCTCAGACACTTAATAGCTGTGTGATCCTGGGCCTTAGTTTCTTCATCTGTAAAACAGGGATAATAACAGTATCTCCCTCTCAAGTTTGTTGTGAGGATCTAATGAAATAATAGTTATAAATCACTTAGCACAGTACCTGGAACATAGTAAGCACTATGTAAATGTGATGTAATATAAATTCATTCATTCTAAGGTTATCTGTAATTTGTCCTATATGTAGCTTTTAAATATATAGTTGTTTGCATGTTGTATCTCCCATTAGACTGTGAGCTCCTTGAGAGAAAGAACTGTTGTTGGGGTTTTGTTATCATTGTTTTGTTGTGCTTTGCTTTGTTTCTCTAGTGCTTAACAGAATGCCTGGCAAATAAATGCTAGTTGACTATGACTGGAATACACTAAGACAAATGAAAAACCAGAGAGACAGAGTTTCTGGGTAATTAATAATCAATGTATTAATTAGAGTAGCTGATAATCAGTAAATTGATGGTCAGTGGTTTCTCTCAGCAACCAAAGACAAAACCATGGAGATCACCAAATGCTTAAATACCTTTGGAAAAACAGGTGCCCCTGGATAGGTGGAAATCAAATCTGATTCAAACAAATTAATGAGAGGATAGACTTCAAAATGGGGAAGTGGACTGAAAGCCTTCAGCAATTCTTGCTGAGAACCTGGCTTGAGCATGAGACTTAGCTGCTTTCAGCAACTGAACAAATGAATCTGTACCCAGACCACCTTGATTGTTTTTCTTCTTTATAAAGTGGGTCACCCTAAACTTCAATGGAGGGGTACAATGATATGGGCTTATTTCCTAAGGGCAAGAATTCACCCAGATTAGATTCTGTTTACACTCTAAACAGAAGTAAGGTCTTCTAGTTGAGTAAGATCCCACCCAAGATCACAGAGCATGTAAATGAGATAAGAATCTCATTTATCAGCACTGTCCTGAAACTGACTGGCCTGCAGGGGCTGGTCCCTGAATTGAGGAAATAAAGGGAAAAATCTTTAATCCTAATTTAATAATTGGTTATTAGTATAATAGAAAAATAATTACTTCTCTCAAAACCAAACACAATTATATGACTCAATGAAAGAGCAAGTCATATTTCAATATAATCAAAAGACTGAAAAATTGAAAAAAAATGTAAGCTGATAGTTGGTTGTTGTTTTTTTTTTTAAAAAAAACTCATGTGGAAAACATGTCAAGGAGAAATCATTTAACTTCCTGAAAACCATGATTAAAAAATCCTTAACACTAAATTTAAGGAAATCATAAATAAACTGCTCACATTTATTAGGGCAGCTAGGTGGCACAGTGGTTAGAGTGCTAGGTCTGTAGTCAGGTAAGTTCCTATTCCTGAGTTCACACCCAGCCTCAAACACTTACTAGCTGTGTGACCTTGGGCATGAAAAAAAACTGGAGCTGAATAAAAATTTTGAAATGCAAACACAAGCCTGAAGAGAAATCTAAAAAAGCAAATGTGTTTTAGTAATTGAGAGGAGATATAAAATGACTAAGACCTAACATTCTAATAAAGGAAAAGACTTAACTCTGTTTGCCTCCGTTTCCTCATCTCTAAAATGAGAAGGAAATGGCAAACTGCTCTAATATCTTTGCCAAGAAAAGCCCATAAGGGGTCAAAAAGAGTTGGACATGACTGAAAAATGACTGAGTAACAACAAGATCTATTAGAACCACAGGACAATGAAAAGATAGAAAGAGGGGCAGCTAGGTGGTGCAGTGGATAGAGCACTGGCCCTGAAATCAGGAAGACCTGAGTTCAAATCTGGCCGCAGACCAAACACTTGACATTTACTAACTGTGTGACCCTGGACAAGTCACTTAACCCCAATTGCCTAAAAAAAAAAAAAAGAAAGAAAAAAAAAGAAAAGATAGAAGGAATCCCCTGATCACATCCTTCAAGAAGCCCTAAAAAGAAAATCCCAAGAATGTCAGAGGCAATGTCCAGAGCTCCCATATCAAAGATAAAATATACTGCAAGTGTCCAGGAAAAAGCAATGCAATTATAGTACAGAGGGACTACAGTCATGATCACACAAGAGATGGCAATTTCTACTTAATAAAAAGGAATTCTTGGAATACGGTAACCCACAATACTATAATACATAATACAACCAGGAATAACCCTGCAAAGTTGAAAACCATGTTATTATCTATCTATTGGGGGGTGGAGGCTGGTAGGGGGAAGTGAGTTTGAGGATATGAACCTTCAATGGAATAGAAGGCTTTCAAGAATTTCTGATGAAAAAACCGGAGCTGAATAAGAACTTTAAAATGCGAACACAAACCTGAAGAGAAATCTAGAAAGGTAAATGTATTTTAGTAATTGAGAGGGGATATAAAATGACGGAGACCTAATGTTCTAATAAAGGAAAGAAAACAAATGTCCTTTCAGACCCTTAATATACTCAAAAGGTATTGAGAGGGTTAAAAAAAAAAAAGGCCTGTGGATGGATTACTTCTTTCCTGAGGATTTCAAGAAAGGAAGGTAAATGGAATGCAGTAATGTAGAAAGAAGGAAGAAGGGGGTAGAATTTGTTATATCTTGTAATTGGAGTGTATAAAAAGAAAAACATCAAAACATGTAGAAAGGGGTGGGAGGAGTGAGAATCAGATGAATCTTACTTTTATATGTAACAGTCATAGGATGATTGATACGCTAAAAAACAGTTTGATGTAGAAGTGCATCAAATCTAACAAGGAAATAAGTGGAATTGGGGGAATGGGGGAGGATGTATGAGAGGGAGGATAACACCAGGGAGAAAATAGTTACAAAGAAAAACAAATTTTGTAATCCTGAAGGGGGCAGTTGAAAAAAGAGAGAAAACTCCAAGTAAAGCAAAGAACTGGAATCTAAATAGATGTCCATCAATTGAGCAATAGCTGAACAAATTGTATGTGAATACAGTGAAATATTATTGGATTGTAAAAAAGTGACAAAGTAGACAATTACAGAGAATCTTGGTTAGTATGAAAGCTTTGGAAGACATAAAAAATATGATTTAAAAAATGACTAACCAGGTCTCTAGAGAACCTATGAGGAAAGATGCTACCTTTTGACCAAAGTTAATGGACATAAGAAGCAGAAAGAAGCATGAATTTTTGGAACTGAGTACTGTATAAATCCATGTTCTTGGCTATGCTTATTTGTTACAACTGTTTATTAATGGTATTAAGGGTTAGAAATAGTTATACCAAAAAATAATATGGTCATTCAAACATTTTTTTAAATGATCAAAAAGCAGAAGTTCAGAAGCAAGTACAAACAGGACAGTTTTGAAAATAATGTGAGGAATTTACGATATTTTTTTAATTAAAGAAAAAAAGCAAGCCAAGTAGTATGAAAAGAAGATTTGTGGTGTCACATACAATACTATTTTTGTGTTCTACTGTGTATATGAAAATGCTCTTTTTTTTGTATTTGCTTAGAATAAAAAAAATTTAAAGCATAAAAAAACTCAGCTCAAATCTTACCTTCTGCATCAGGTAGTCTCCTCCTTTCCCCTCCTCCATTAGTCCCTTCTCTCTGAGATTACCTTCTATTTACTGCAGCTCTTGTTATTAGTTGTTTGCATGTTGTCTCCCCCACTAAATTGTGAGGTACTTGAGAGTAAGGGACCTTGTTTTTCCTTCCTTTGAATTCTTAGCACTTAACATGATACCTGATAGGTTGAGTAATAAATGTTTGTTGAGTTACTGGTTGAATTTTGGTTGCTGAAAGCTTAGGCATGGTGTAGTTTTTTTGCTGGGTTGCTCGATGTCATGAAATTGCCTTTCCTCATTGTTTCTGCTTTATCTTGGATTCATGCAGACATTGCTTCTATTCCCCTCTCCTCTAAGGATGCTGCTATTATGCCAATGAAAAGCAATTTAAATCTTCCAGCCTGCCAAAGTTCACAGTCTTCCTCTGGTCAAGGGAACTGCAGAGTAAGGTGGAAGAGACTGAGACGAAGGCAAATGCTGAGACTTTTCTTCTCCCTGATTCCTCCCTCCCCAAAACAATTCCTTCTCAGGAGCTTGGTGGAAATGGCTTTTGTTACTAAGCCTCCAGACTGCTCCGTTCCAAACTATAGCTTGCTAGCTTTATACAACCTCCACGGGATGTAACCAAGTCTAAATATATTTCGTTTGCAATGTCACTCCATTTTATCCAATATCTTCTAGGAACTTCTAAAATTATTCAAGGACTTTTTAAAGCCTTTGATCGATTGCTTGATTGATTCATTAGAGATGTTCTCACTTGCTTGTTAATTTCAGTAGTGTGGGGTGACTGGATGGTTGATTTAATTGATTCCCATTCTTACATTTAAAATGGGGATAGTAACAGCACCTACCTCACAAAGTTGTTTTAAGGATTAAATGAAAATTTAAACAATATAACATCAGTTTTAATAGCTTCAATAGACTCTCCCAAAGAGACTATAAATATTGTTAGTGTATCTTCAAGAGGCAATTTCCAGGTTAATCGTCATTCTAGAGAACCTAAGATGGCTAAAAAGAGAGAATATTAGGATAAGATCCAAGACAACTTATTTCCTGAAAGTACTAGCTTTGACCTTTTAACTTGCTAAACTGGGCCTGAGGGGCTAGGATGCCCTCTCCTTCTCCACTAAAGTGTCCCTCTTAAATCTGGACCAAGACATGTAGACTCAGTTCAGTTCTGGGGGAGCCTGACTTCTAAGGAGAATTAGACTCTTTTTTCCTGCATTCTTGGCTCTTCACTCTAAACCAGGAGCCCTGGGGGAAATTACTTATATCTTAGGTTTGGTCTAAAGTTGCTCCAAGAATGGGGTAATAGAAAGCTACTTAATGTGCAATGTAAATCAAGTATAGGATAGCTATTTATTTCCTCCACACACAAAAACACCAAAGATTAACAAATGTTCACTGTACATTTTATACATTAATAAGCACAAATTTAAGCAGCAGTAACATAACTATTATTATTGTTATAAGTTATAACTATTATTATATCACATATAACTATTATAGTCTTCCAGGAGGTT